TTTTTATTTATTTATTTTTTTTTTGCATCATAGCTCATTTGTAGCTTGTTCCATCAAAATATTCTCAAAGTTTTCTTTTATTTTTTATATTTCCCATTAATTTCCTATGTCAGTAATTTTTGACCACAACGGAGCTAAGTGTGACTTTTTGTGTTGTTGGCTCATTAACATATTCGATTCATGTACATGATTTTTGTGTGTCTGTGTTCACATAGCTAATGCAACAAAAGTTGTCAAATCATCCCATTCCGATGAAGGAAGAAATGTTTAAATTTCAATATGTAAAACTTTGTGGTCAGTTCCAACCAAAGAGGCCCATTGATGCTATAAAAATGGGGTGTGGTGTGATTGGGTCTGTGGGGGTTTGGGTGGGACCTTGATACTGCAGCTCCAGCTCACGATCACTACTGCACAGACTCGGTCGGGCTTCAGAGTTCACCCTGTGTGTGCAGCCTAAATCTCATGCATATTAGCGCATATAGACTGCACTGCAACTCCATGCTCATCTCCGCAGACCTGAAGCAGGTTGCATAAACATGGTCACTATGCTAAGACTGTGTCTTAAGAACTAGTTTGTCTAACTAGCAGTTAACAAAGTTATAATCAGTCTTAATTTTCACATTTAAATTAAACATATGTTTTTATGTAACTGACTTAAAAAAGTTATGAACAGTCTTGCTGAAAAATATTAGAAGACTAACTTTTAAGACTAGTCTAAGCAGTTTATACAATTGGCCACAGGTGTAGCATCAAAAAGCAGTCGTAGTGTATGAATTTATGATCAGTGGAGTAAGTTAATTAAGTTAAGCTAGTTAAGCAACTAGGTTGGCAGTGTAAAGTTTGTAGGTGACAAAACTGGTGAGTAGTGTTTTGTACATTGATTTGGATTAAAAAGGGTTCAAATTAATGACTGATGTCTTACCTGACATGAATCTTTTCCTCCCTGATTTAACAATCCAGCACAAATCATATTGCTTGTGATTCTCCCTCCATAAGCATTAGCACAGGCACTGTTGTTCACAATTGGTATCATCACCTCCTGCAGTATGTCAGGAACCTGGCCTGTGACACAGATCAGAGGACAGATTTTATGGCTTTTAAAAAACATTTCTAGGTAAACTGTTGAGGTTTACAGTAATGTTTGCATTCAATTAACTGGCAAGCAAATGTTCACTCACCTCCAGGTTGTAGTCTGCCCCATCCAGTGACCCAGCTCTCCGTACCTCCACCAAATACACTCCCAGCCGCTGCCAGACAGACCGGCCTTATGTAATCAGTGAAATTCACAGAGGAGGAGAGCTGGACCAGTGCTATATCGTTGTCATAAGGAGCACCGACATAGCCAGGATGGTTGATGATTCGGCTCGCTGTCCTGGATGCCTCATTAGGGTTTGAGCCAGATTGGTTCAGACGACCAAAGTACATCACAGTGTCAGACTCATTTTGACTGTAAATAGAGAAAGTCTGCTTCAATCCCACTATTATCAATCTGCAAATGTATCTTAAAGCAGTCATATGATGCGATTTCAAGTTTTCCTTTCTCTTTGGAGTGTTACAAGCTGATTGTGCATAGATAAGATCCCTGAAGTTGCAAAGACTAAAGTCTCAAAACCAAAGAGATATTCTTTATCAAAGTTAAGACTCTGCCACACCCCCCTAAAACGGCTCGTTTTAACACGCCCCCCCATATCTACCTCACTATGTGGGAATATTTGTAAAATGCCGCCCAAATGTGCACGCAAAGAAAGAAGGCGTGGTTTCAGTAACCGCAGTTAGTGTTGAAGCAGCATGTCAGGGAGACGCTTTGTGTTTCTAGCGCGAGAGAGAGAGAGATAGCGGTGTGTGTGAGTGTGTGCGTGTGTGTGCGAGAGAGAGAGAAAGATAGAGAGAGCTGTGTGTGTGTGTGTGTGCACGAGAGAGAGAGAGAGAGAGAGAGAGCTGTGTGTGTGTGTGTGTGCGAGAGAGATATATAGAGAGAGAGAGAGAGAGAGAGACATCACAGTGGATTCAGCTGTCTTAACCTTGGCTTGTGTGCTGCAAACACATATTCATCACTGTGTCTGTCACGAGACTCTGTTCCCCTTTTGGGCTCTGTCTTTACATTTATTTTGAAAGATGAAGCTCGCGATTATGGTAAGGGGCGTTACATTTCCGACGAGTCCTTGCGGTGTTCAGCCAATCACAATGCACTGGGTCAGCTGGCCAATCAGAGCAGACTGCACTTGTCGGAAGGAGGGACTTTGTAGAAAACGAAGCGTTTGAGAGAGGCGGGGCATAGAGGACCTACAATAATGTACAGTATTTTAAAAATAATGTGTTTTTTGAACATTAAAGCATGTCAACATATTCTGTTACACCAAATACACAAAATAATGATCTTTAAAAAAGCATCATATGACCCCTTTAAGCTTTATTCATTAAACTTCATACCTCTGGAAGCACTGAGCTGCAGATAAAACCCAGTCTTTAGTGATGAGAGTCCCACCACAATTATGGCCAAAACCGACGACATGAATGCTGACCTGCCATGGCCAAGCCCCTGCTGTCGCATTTTCCCCTCCAACAATCCTGTTCTTGAGGGAGGCTCGACCACATACTGATGAGAGAAAAGACAATGTGGGGATCCCCAGTTAAAATGATATGTTACATAAAAGATTTGTGGAACAAGAGTTATATGGTCATTAAGAGTATGACAACTTACCATCTAACTGGCAGAGAGAACCTGGGAAACAGAGACCAAACAATTAGATGAACATGTATGATAATGATAATATAATAAACATAAAAATAAAATCAGCCATCGCGTTCGAGTTTAAGATGTCTTAAGGGAGCTGTTTTGGTCCCTTAATTTTTTTTAAGGTGAAATGGTTTCTAAGGACTTTGTAGCAATGCTTAAGGGAATACTTAATGACAGCCTTAAGTTCCTTAAGTTGAACTTAGTTTTTTTTCTTGCAACCCAAATTTCACTAAGGGTTCCCTTAACATTATAACGTCTCAGGTTACTTATGTAACCATGGTTCCCTGAGTAGGGAACGAGACACTGCGTCTTCTAGGGGTCGCTATGGGGGACGCCTCGTCGTGACCCGTGTCTGAAGCATACATTGAAAAAACACCAACTCGTTGGCCGGCGACAGCCATGACATCACTACCGGTGCGACTATAGTATAAATCGGCGCCGGGAGCTACACATCATTCACTTCTTCATCTGAAGCTTGCGACCGCAGCAAGGCAAGAAACCTAGAGGACGCAGTGTCTCGTTCCCTACTCAGGGAACCATGGTTACATAAGTAATCTGAGACGTTCCCTTTCATCGGAACTTCGAACTGCATCCTCTAGGGGTCGCTATGGGGAATGGTATACCCACGCCACCATGCTGAGGGGAGTGCATGCCAGAACCATGGTGAGCACTAAGTACCAACTCTACCATATCGCTATGGGAGTCACCCCTGGGACGTTAGACGGCTGTCGGAGCTCTGTCTGGAGAAGCCTCTAGACCGGACCATCAGTAAGGTGGTTACTATGAAGCCATAGAACCAACCAAAAACATCATAGGTCCAGTAGGAGACTGTTATGCAGGAAGCTTCCACCTAACCTGGTGGAGAGATGGTGGTTACAGGGTAATTAGGAAGGGGAAGAAAAGGGTAGATGATACATCCCCTGAGGGAAAGAGTGGATACCTAAGTATTACTCTGATCCGGACGAAAGCGCTGACGCCTTGTTTGGATCACATCCTTCAGGTCTTGCCTACCTCCCTTTGACCCACGATACTTCCTACCCCTACCCGCAGGCGGAGGAGGAACGCGAGTTGCGACACTAGCCTGCTGTGCTCGTCTCTGATCCTCAAACCGAGACGGGCCAGGACCCCTGGGTTGTTCGGGCTCAGACCTGGACCTTCGTGGAATGAAGGTTTTGAAGGCCGCTGAGCGCACCTTCACCTCCCTGAACTTTTTGACCACCGTCTCAATGGATGTACCAAAAATTTCAGAGGGCGAAACCGGGGCATCGAGAAGAAAGCCCCTTTCTTTCTTCCCAATGTCTGCCAGGTTTACCCACAAATGCCTCTCCGTTACTACCATCGCCACCATAGATCTTCCCATGGCAGAGGCAGCCTGCTTAGTAGCATGGAGAGCCAGGTCCGTGGTGCGGTGCAACTCAGCCATCTCATCAGAAGAAAGGCCCTCCCCTTTATCCAGGTCTTTCAGCAGGTCAGCCTGGTATGCCTGGAGCACCGCCATCGTGTGCAGCGAAGCAACAGCCTGACCTGCTGCTGTGCATGCCCTGCCATTCAATTTAGATGTAGCTTGAAGGGGCATGGATGGCAAGGAGAAAGTTTTGGGAGACGATGTTTCACCCATAGAGAGATAGCTAGCTAGCGTCTCTTCTACAGGGGGCATTCTCTCATAGCCGTTTTCGCGCATCGCCTCGATGTTCGCATAACTGGTATGCTGAAACCGATGGATGCGTGAGGAAAACGGCCTCTTCCATTCCTTCTCGATCTCAGTATGGAGATCAGGAAGCAAAGGAAGGCTCACCTGAGCTGGAGGGTTATGGCCAGAAAGATAACGTTCCTCGAGACGACCTCGCGACGTCACTTCCTTAGTTTGCTTCCACAGCAAGTCAAGCCTCGCCGTGGTGCGATCCATAACCTCTAAAAGCTCATCATACGCAGGGCAGGAGGATTGGGAAGGCTCAGCCTCAGCTTCTTCACTCTCTTCATCCATTTCCTGCTCTTTCTGGGCTGAACCCAGCAGAGCACTGGCCCCTGGATCAGATGATGTTAAAGAGAGAATATCATCCTCCAGCGGCTGTCTCTCACCTGCCTTAAACTCATCGGCCAGGTCCACCGGAGATCCCCACAAGCTCATTCTCCTCCGTGCCTCAGCAGTAGCGGGTCCTGAACCGCGGGAAGCAGATGGTTGCCCCTCTTTACTTGAAAAGAGAGACAAACGAGAACGGAGCTTTTTCATTGGAAAAAACTCACAATGCATGCAGATTGCCCCCTCGAGGACATCGCGTGCGTGCTCTTCGCCCAAACAAACAACACATAGATCATGTGTGTCATCTATTGTCAAATAGCGATGACACGGATGCACACACCTTCTAAATGCTCTGCTAGTGCTCGCCATAATGAAAGAGATAGCTCTTACTTTTTCCTTGGAAGTGCACTCTTCAAACAGAACAGTCAATGAAGACAAAGAAGAGAATGAGTCAATTCACTAATTTAAACTGCTTCTCAGAGTGAATGACAGAAAGAGAAACATCATGAGGAGTTATTTCTTTGTACTAAATGAAAACCCAGCTGATTGTGACATGCATAACCTTAGAGTAAAGGCATTTGTAGTTTTTGTTTACACTGATTATTAAGGCAGATTAAACATACTGCCGATCTAGACAATTAAGGTAATATAAGGTTTGTCTATATTCTAAACAAATGTTAATGAGTATGATCTGGTTAGTTAAAATGATGCTTTGTGGAATCAAAATGATATTCACAGAGTAATTAATCTACACAAAGCACTTATTTCAAGGAGTAGGCGAGTAGCTTTCTTAAGTATTTTATGCTGTTTCATGAAAGCTTATATTGTAAAAAGATTGTGTTGATTTGCAGTATGGTGTATTGTGTGTTATATTGGTGTTATATTATTTTGTTGTTGTTTTTTACGGTGTATAGCAAAATAGAATCAAGGAAATTACCCACAACTACAAGTATAAATAGTTTTTTTTGGAAGTTGTAAATAAAACAAATATTAATGGATTATGTTTTACAAGAAAATATTATTTCAGTCTTTCTACTTTAAAATGTCACATTTAACTCATTGTGTTACTTGCTATTTCTTTGTAATTAATTTACTTAGTTAAAATAGTTTCTACACCAAGTGTTTGTTTGTTTTTTGTTTTTTTCAGTGTACTCTGTTCCTGCTGTGTATCATTATGTTTGTGTGAACGGTGTGCATCCTGTTAACAGGTTCTTAAATAAATGCATCCTGTATGATCGCTGCTCACGTGTGCAGCTGCTGAGAAACAGGTCTTACAGACACTTTGGTACTGATTAGGTTCATATGCATTTAACTCCTCCAATAAAAAAGGATAAAAATAAATCCATCTTACATTTATAATTATAAATTAATTAATTTATAATTATAAATAAAACCACAATGTGTACTGTATATTTATCCTCAAAACCAGTTTCATGGATTTAAGCATCAGGCTTTAAATCAAAAGGTGTTTTGAGATCATGAGAAACTTAAATTCAGCAATGTTTGTATGTATTTGTAGTAGCAAACATTTCTGTTATTGATGTGTTTTACAAAGGTCCCTAGCAGTTGAAAGTCAATTGGCTTGTCATTATTAAGCCAATAAAACATTACACTTATACCTAATTTATATATTTGTGTACGATCTTACCTGCTATGCTGAGAAGTATGATTCCAGCTAAACTCAAAGCGCTGTTAAACGTCATACTGATTGTGTTCTGACCGCTGTTTCCTCAACTCTCAGGATAAAGAGAAAGAACAGCAGGTGCTCATCAAGAGTTCTCCGCCCCGACCTCCATGAGTCACATCTTTTATTTTCCAGATGCTTTTTTTTCTGTCAGTATTTGCAGTACACACCCTCGTCACCTTTGCAGGTGTTAAAGTTTATTATTAAGTGCCTTTCAGTTCTCGCTTAACTACTCATTACAACATTTCAAGTGTCTCTAATTTGATTTTCATGATGTTGCTTACAATTCGGGACCAAAAAAAAAATACTGAATTAGAAGAATGGAGCAGACATACAATAAGTTATAAATACATACAAAGTTTTCCATTTTCTTTTTTGCTCTCATAAACTTTCCTGTATGCCTCTTACTTGACACAGCAAACCTGTCCAAAGATTTTAAGAATCTTAGTCTCCAGTAAACTAATGTAGGGAATAGTGAATGAGGGTGTTTAATGTTACAGCTGATGTGTGTCGAGTGAGACGATTGAAGTGAATGTGGTTTGATTTCAGTCTCAAGCCGAGCACACAGAGCGTCAGATTAAACAGCAGTTTGAGAAGCTTCATCAGTTTCTCAGAGATGAAGAAGAAGCTACAATCACTGCACTGAGGGAGGAAGAGGAGCAGAAGAATCAGATGATGAAGGAGAAGCTGGAGGAGATGAACAGACACATCTCAGCTCTTTCACACACAATCAGAGACACGGAGGAGATGATGAGAGCCAGTGACGTCTGCTTTCTGAAGGTCTGATTTCAGATCATTGATTGATTGATTGATTGATTGAGTTGTTGATGATTAACTGTGTGTTTGTTCTGCAGGAGTTTCCAGTCTCAATGGAAAGGTGAGTGATCTGCTGCTGTCTCTGCTCTCTCTGCTTCTGATCCAAAGCCACTGCAGTTCTGATCCTGAATGTTCTTCCAGAGTCCAGATCTCACAGCCGGATCCACAGATGAGTTCTGGAGCTTTGGTTCATGCGTCACATTACTTGAGTAACCTGCGGTTCAGAGTCTGGAGGAAGATGCAGGAAACTCTCCAACACAGTGAGTCTC